GCACCTATTTGGCAGATGGTCTTTCAAATTTCCTGCTTCTGATAATAGTCTGTCACAGACTCTAGGCCTGTAGCCAATTTGCACCAACGATGCTGAGAAACTTTGGGTGACTATTCAGGCCGCCAGCTGTCTCTGTCTATTCTCGCAAGACTCCCCAAAGTTGCTTGTGTCCATCTCCCGTTTTCTCAAGTATTATTATTCCTTCTCAGGTCTTTTATAGGACTGAAGACTAACAGTTACAGTTACAATCTTCTCTTATCTTAGCTAAAACATATTAAGTATTAGATTCAGGTTCTTCAGGATAGGACAGTTTTTGGAATGATCTCTAACATGCCATTTACCTATGCTCTAGACTTCTCTGGATGTTACTATGTGTCTCTTGTTTAATGTTGCTCTCACTGGTTGTAGTTCCATTTGTTTATGTCATCACCCTTTATTTCTCCTTGTTAATCATTCCTATTGTATATAGTTTTGTATTGGGTTAGAACTTTCTTCCTTAGACAAAAGAGGGAGATGTAGAGGTGGTTGTCTGTACTTTACCCTGAAGTACCACCCCTAGTAGGCAGCAGGTAACTGCTAGGTACCTGCCTCCCGAAATGGGAACCCCTTAAGACCTGAGATGAGTACATACTCGATCTCTCTTGGCTACCTCATGGTTTTGGATGCTGGTGCTGCGGATCAAGGCAGAGTTCTCCTGAGAACTGTGTTGAACTGTTCCGCTCCCCTCCTGGATTCTGCAACCAACTCCTTTATGCTTGTTGTGAGTTAACCCAGAATAAATCCCTTTGATTATCAAATAGACTCCGTGGAATTTCCCCATTAAGAGTGTCTGAGTGGTAGTCTCTGGTGGGCTTACCTCACAACAGTTTCTTTGATAAACAAGGGTTTATTTCTAACTCAGTTTGGTGCAATGTACACAACATAATATGTAAACATACAGTATACATGTAGATATATACCTTTACATTCATATAGGCAGAAAAAGATTAGCCATATGTGTTAGTATCTACTGTTGTGCCCAAATACTTGAAACAACTGAAGTGAATAGACTTATTTTGGCTCATGGCTTCAGTCCATGGTTCTTTGGCCTCATCACTGTAGGCCTGAAACAATCCTGAACACCATAGAAGACTTGGCAAAGCAGACTGCTTACCTCATGATAGAAAGGAGACTGGGTTAGGAAAAAGATACACCCCCCCTTCCAGGGCACTCCTCCAGTGTCCCACTTCCTGCAAATAGGCCTCATGGTATAACTGCCCATTCAAATATGAAATAATTAACAGACTAGTCCAGTGACATCACCACTCTTAGGATCCGATCATTCCTCAACAGTATCACTAGCTGAGGAACCTTCCACCTCTCAGAGCTTTGGGGTGACATTTTATACCCAAACCCTAACACCACAAGGTGTGGGATAACAGTAACAACTGGCCACAGGTGTCACACAAAGTTTCACCCATAATGCTCCCTTGACCCAGGGACTAAACATGGTTGCTCTTGGGCTGGGGCTGCTGTCTGGCTAGCCCTTTACAAAGCAGTCATTTCCTAGTACCTTTCCTTTTGGCCAAATATGCACTGCCTCTCAGTCAGGTGCCTTGGTTCTTGTTAGATCACTTTTGGGGCATATTATTGAATTTTGAGGTTACTCTGAGGTGGTTGCCACAAGGTATTGGCTTTTATCTATCTTTTCTCCCTGCTGCCCAGGGTCTGAGGTCCTCCCTGAAACTTTTGTGTCTTCCCTCAGCTGTCTGGATCACAGGGTCTGTAGGCCTAGGGGCTTAGTTAGGAGTCTCTCAGATGAGGGTCCTGGTATGATTTCATAAAAGTAGATAAAGAAGTCTCTTTTCCTCCCTTCAAGAAAATGCAGACCCACTGTCCAGCCAACTGGCCTTCTAATCTAAGTTATACTGATGTCAGGCATTGCATCAAGTTCTTTTTCTTGAACCTCTTGGGTCTAAATGAACCTCAGCACCCAGACATCCATGGGGTGATTCCCAGGCCTACCCTTTAACCAGGAGACCAAAAAAGTAGTAACTTGTGAACATGAGAAGCAACTAGAACCTCAGGGCTCAGAGCTGCTTTTCATGGCATCCCTGGAAGTGCTAGGATGGGACCTGCAGACAGGGTGTGAGAACTGGAATTATAGGTGCTCACCAAACAAAGCCCCACCAAATCAGATATTAGAAGTAAAAACTGAGTGTTAGAGGGTTTTGGACACGGACAAAGCATGGTACAGCGTGAGTGGCAGTCCGACCCAAAGTCTCTTCCTTCCCTTTTTCTTCTTTATGTTTGGAGACAGGATATCACTTTGTAGCCCAAGCTGGTCTGGAACTCACTATGTAGCTCAGGTTGGCCTCAACCTGGCAATGCTACTTCCGCCTCCTAAGTGCTAGGATTGCAGGCATGAGCCACCAGAGCAGTTCAAATGAAAATTTCAGAAGCCAGAGTCTGCTGGACTAGAGTACCGAGTCAGCAGAACAAAAAGACAAAGCGTATAGACTGTTAGTGCTGCAGCCAAGCTGCAGTCCAAAGGGGAGATTAAGCCAGTGACAGCTGGTGAATACTCCAGAATACAGGACAGACAAGCAGAGAGGGTTGCATTCTGGTGAGTAGGGTACACACTGTAGACTGTCAAGGGAGAGCCTACTGGCTGAAATCAAAGCTAAGGTTCAGGCAGCCACAAGGCAAATTGCACCAACTATCACCAGGGCTGGTCCTCCTCTTCTTCAGGCCCTCTAAGAATCCCTTTGTGGTCATCAAAAATGTCAGCAAATGGTTGGGGGGTCTTTTGCTCAATGCAAATAAAAATAAAAAATGTCAAAAGTGTAGCTTTTGTCTTGTTAGCAGGTTCTGAATTGCTGCCTTGGATGAAGAACAAAGCAGAGAGACAGACTGGATGGCCACCCAGGCAAACAAACAAAAATTGTTGGCTAATACTGTGAAGAACATGGGAGGAAAAAGATGAGAACAGACCCTTTTTCTTTCCTGAGAGACCTTCAGTGTTAATGCCTGTACCCTGGAAAGTCCACAGCTCAAAGGATGAAACACTGAGTATTTTGATTTTCATCCTAAATTAGCCAATGGCATTCTCATTTTTAAAAATTCCTAACTTAAATGTGGAAAAAGGCAGTCAATACTCAATATACTCTTGACAAAGCAGGTAAGAATCAGGTTTTGCTATCGAGACTGTCCCTACCAGGAACTGTACAAAGAGCTACTTTCAGCTCCAGCACAGCTACTGAGCTGTAGGACTCTGGCAGATGCAGTGACTGACTTCAGCTTCAGTTTCCTCATCTGTGAAATGGGGACAGTTATTCCTACTTGCTAGGGAATAGGCAACATTTAGAGGCTGAAACGTAAGCATGGTGCTCAGAAAGCAAGAACAATTGGGGAGTAATATTCTTTCATGTGATGACATGAAAGCAGCCTTTAGTTCAATGTCACCAACTCTGGGAAGCTGTCCTTGTCCCCTAAGTCAACATGCGATGTCAGGCATGCTTAGCCCTGCATTTTGCTGGCTGGCATCACTCTCTAACCTAGCAGCTGGTCTGTCAGTCCCTGGCCTGGAGTTGTGCACAGAGAACCTCAGTCTCTGGCAGTAACAAAAGCAGGGAGGCTTGCTGTCTGGCAACCCAGGGTGAGAATGGGAGGCTACACTGGCCTGTACAGCAACAAGGGACAGGCTAGCCACCCCCAGGAGTGTCTGGCAGGTGGACAGTGACTTGGCAAGTACCTGTGGAGTGAGGTCCTTGGCTTTTTAAGTAGCAAGGAAACTACTCAAAAGCAGTATTCTAGTATAAATCAGGAAATTAGCCATCAAGAGTGACGAAGTGAGGTTCTTTTCTGATGACTACTTGCAGTGATAGTTTACCTACAGTTTGTACCTGCTTCCTCATCTTGATAGTACACGTGCACGTACACACGTGTACACACACACACACACACACACACACACACACACACACACACGGGAGGTTTTGAGGAAATAAAGTGGTGCTGAGCTTTCAGAAAGCCCAGAGTCCTCAGAAAAGAATCTGAAAATGTGAGTCTTCTGCATGAAGGCCACTTGGAGCAATGTGGTCATTAGCACCCACTCTACTTGCAGGCAGAAGCAGCAGAGTGTACCATATGATGTACAAACAGGAAAGGCTTGCCAGCTCCAGAGGCCAAGGAAGAGTGAGTCATACCTCCACCTGAGGCTACAGATGGAAGTGGCCATGTGCTAATGGACACTCTAAAGGTCAATCACAGGCTGGTGAGGTGTGCTGAACACTGGCTTAGTACCTGCTTTAGAACGAGTACCATGGACTTCTCATGTGCATCCTTGAACACCCTTCAGTTGTTAGAGACAGTATGGAAAGCTCTGCAATAAAAAGGTATTCCCAGAACCCAGCTGCCCCCCTACTCCCAGGAAGCTCCTGTCACCAAACCAAACTGTCTGGAATCACAAAAGCACTAGATTAGCATGGTATGGAGGGCAGGGTACACAAGCCTGGGTGAGTGTGGTCTCTGAGCCTGAGCACACCTGTCAAGTGTTCACTTCCACCACATCCTAGGGACTTAATACATTCTGTCCGGAGACCTGCTTAAGCTGGACCACACTGCTCTTAATCTATCCTTTTACCTAAATGCCCTTCCTCCAGATATCCTTGACAAGGAGGCTGCATGGACAGACTAGGAATGTCTAATCCATGTAGCTTTGTGTGGGTTACTTAAGTCTCAAAATACTATGAAGTAGAAAGTGTCCTCATTTTCTGATAATGAAAATGAGGCTCAGGACCATTTGTCCTTAGGACAATGACTTGTCTCTAAGGTACCTCATAGGCCAAGCTGCTAGGGCCAGAGCGAGGCTAGCGTGGTGCACAACACAGCCCTCCCCGCTGACAAAATGAACACAGGCGTGCAGTGAACAAAGAAGGCAGCCATGCTCACAACTATGCCAGCGACATAGATGTAGACTTGGGATCCAGGACACTGAGTGCCAGTGTAACCATCTCTCACCTATATCTACCTGTGTGGTCTTGCTCCAGTGAGAGGCAGAGCAGGCCTAGAGTGACTTGCCATGGAGAAGCACAGGAACTGGACTGGACTTGGAGAATGCTAGGCTCCAGGACTTCTGCTCCCACATCTGGGCTCGGGGAGGCCTGAGAAGCAGTGGGGCACATGGGTTGTCCAGAGGTGGGATGGAGACAAACCTCTGTCTGTGCCGATTTTAACACAGACCAAGGACAAGTATGAGAAGGCCCTGAAGGAACTTGATCAGACCACACCCCAGTACATGGAGAACATGGAGCAGGTGTTCGAGCAGTGCCAGCAGTTTGAAGAGAAGCGCCTGCGCTTCTTCCGGGAGGTTCTGCTGGAGGTCCAGAAGCACTTGGACCTGTCCAATGTGGCTAGGTAAGTTTCCCTGAGGCAAAAACCCCATCAGTGTGAGTCACAGGGAGGCTGGGATTGAATAGACTCGGGTGTTGCATGCAGCCTTGGATTCCCATGAGCTCCTGTTCCCAGAGCCAGCATCCAGCACAGCCATGGAAGGCTCGAAGCTGCCAGCTCCAAGTGGGTCTGGACAGGAAGGGAAGCTGTCTGTTCTGGTGCCACAGCCAGGACCAGCCAGACCTGGCCTTCTGGAAATCCACCTGCACCGGTGCAGCACTGGCCAGGCCTCATGTCTTCTGCCCCAAGGACAGTCCCTTGTAGAGCTCATCTCATCCCTGCTGCCAGCTTGACCACTGATATCTTAGTGACTGTAGTCCCGGCGAGGCCAGACAGCAAGACACACTCCAGTTTGACTTGTGACACAGTGTGCCTGCATCAGGAGAGAGCCAGATAACAGGACAGAGCTAGAAATCCACTTCCTTCATCCATCCTGCAGAAGCGTTGAGAAATGAATGTCAGGTCAAAGCTTGTTGTCAGTAGAAAGCGACATCCCTTCTGTCTCTTCTAAAAAGATGGAAAGCAGTCACTGCACAGGGGCTCTGCTGTCATTTCATCTCTGAGACAGCCTGGAAAGTAGGCAGAACTGTCCCCATCTTGCTGATGAGGAAACTGAGCTGCTACACAGCTTTTAGGGGACAGGAAAGGGACAGGGCTGGGACTGTGTCCTGCTCTTCTGTGTATGAGGTACCTTCCACGGTTTGTACTTGGCTCTGGCAAAGGCCTGAATCGGCAGAGCCCGTCTCTATGTCCCAAGTCACCTCTGGGGTACATGGTGCAGTCGCTCCTAGGGCTGCTGTGACAGAATCTGGGTGGCATGGCAGACAACAAGGGAAGCTCATTACTCAGTTCTAGAAGACAGAAGTCAAAAACCAAGGTGTGGCCACACTCCCCACCGAAGGCTCCAGGTCCTTCTGCCTCTTCTGGCTTGTGGGTCTGCCACAGTCCTCAGCTCTCTGGACATCTGACCGCTTCTCTCCAGTCCTCTGGCCATCTTTCCCTGAGTATCTAGGGTAGATTTCTTCTTCTTTCTAAGGACAGCAGCCCTGCCACACCGGGGCCATTTTACTGAACCTGTTTTAAGTTGTCCACCTCCAAAAGACCCTGTTTTCAGAAAAGGTCACATCCTGAGGTTAGGACTTCAGCTCTTGTATTTGGAGAACACAAGTCAATCCTTAGATAGAATAGGTATTATGCCCACTCAGCAGAGAAGGAAACTGAGGCTCAGAAAGAGAGAAGAATTGCCTATGTGGATGATAACTGATCTATCAGGTCCAGCCTAGACCCGTGTCCTTGGTCGCAGGAGGCCGGACTGGGGCTCGTGGTTCTGTCTTCCTCCTATTCTACCTTTCCCGTGGGGAGGGAAACCTCCAGCTCTCCCGAGAGAAATGGAGGAGGTGGCAGTGGCGGCAGTGGCGGCGGCGGCGGCGGCACTCTGACACTCTCCTCTAACGGCTTCTCCTCAACATGACCTGACCCGGGGGGGGGGTGGGTGTGCACAGCTGCACCCAGAGCACCCAGGATTTGGCAGCAGGGCAAGTCTCGATGTGCCGCCTGGTTTGATACGAAGCTTATCTGGGTGGGTCCCAGGTTCTAGAGGATGGTGTCTGCATCTGTACCTGTGACACCAGGGAATGGCGTCCCTGACCTGTGTCTGGGAAACTGCAGGCTGCAGAGACTCTCATGCAGGCTACAGGGCCTGCCTGCTGTGGCTGTGAGGAATGGTGCCTGGGCCCTGCCTTTTACAGAGCTGTCTTTCTATCTGTGATTTAGCTACAAAACCATTTACCGAGAGCTGGAACAGAGCATCAAAGCAGCTGATGGCTTCCGGAGGCCCTGCCTGACTGTAGCCCAGATAGCAACAGACCTGCAAGGCTGGCCCAATTATGTCCTGGCTCCACCTGCCTTCTGCACATTGATGACCACCTGTCAGCCACTCTGGGTGTGAAGTGAGTGCTGGAAAAGAGGGTACAGAAGGCACTCCAGCCTGTAGTGCTGGCTTCCTGGTTCTGCAGCTCACAGATGTCTGAAGAGCCTGTGCTTTTAACAGTGGTCTAGGTGTCTCGACTGCTTTCCTTATTCCAGTAGGAACCAGCACTGTCATCCCTGCTACCAAAGGAACTGTCTCTCATCTCCATGCGGCCATCAACACACCTGTAGGAATAAGAAGGAAGAGTGATGGTGGGTGTTTACTTTTGTTCCTAATCAGGGTCTCTTGTTTCTGGGTATGGGGCACATGTCTCCCCTACCCAGGCATATGCTGAGATAAATAACAGCCACATGATGTGGCCAATAAACAGGAACAGATCTGAGGTGTCACTTCCAAGGTCTTTAAAGTGACTGTTCAGCCCAACCTATCTTCTTTTGGGGGGCTGTAGGGAAGAGGGAGTGCAATATCATAAGGCGAATAAGACCCTTGCTGGTCTGGAGTTGGAGTGCTACACAGGACCTCCAGACCAATGGTTCTCTACCTTCCTAATGCTGCAACCCTTTAATACAGTTCATGTTGTGGTGAATCAATCACAAAATTATTTCATTGCTGCTTCATAACTGTAATTTTGCTATTGTTATGAATCATAATATAAATATCTAATATGCAAGACAGCTGACATATGAACCCTGTGGGGGTTGCAACGTACAGGTTAAGAACCAATGCTATAGATAGTCACATGCACCCAAAGCTGACTTGCTAGACACAGGGATAAGCTGCTGTGTGCTGAGCCCGAGACTTGAGAATGCTTATCATAACATGAGCTGGCCTATTTGCACAACACAGATCTCCCTCAAGTCATAGACTTCATTTTCTTCTAGTAATGTTACAGATTCTCCTCGAAGCTTCTGGCTGCCAATCTCTTCCCTGGTCAGCATGTTCAATGAATGATGTAAATGTCACTCACTGACTTCCTGGAAGTGGATACAGAGCCACAGGCCACTGATCACTGGCCCTTCTCTAGTGCTCTTGCAGTGTGGTCTAAAAGTATCTTTGAAGAGATGCTGGACCTCTGGGTTGGTTTTCTCCTTGTCAGCTGAACATCCTTAAACAAGGTATCACTCAAAAAACAGCACTCAATGCCAGCATTCCATCCTGCAGACAAGGGAAAAAGATTCCCCAAGAATTTGAAGCACTGTTAGCCAGGTGGGATGGAGGCAAGATAGATGTCCATGAACTGTGATGATGATGCCATGACCGTCTGCGATGGAAACAGAGCCCAGAGAGATGTGGATTTCAAGGGAATCTGAGGAGAGAGAGCCCACAGCTGAGGGGTTAAGGCAAGGAAGGGTGATGGGAGGGAACGCAGAGTCTTAAATAATTTTGTCCTGAGTAAAAACTGGAAGCAAGAAAAGCACCAGGCTCCATGTTACAAAGGGTCACAAGAAGATGGACATGCCAGATCAGAAGAGCAGAGAGCCGAAGGCAGACAAGAGACCACACCAAACCTGGAAGAAGTAGGTCAGGAACCAGATGAGCCAGGAGCGCGGTGTGTGTGTGTGTGTGTGTGTGTGTGTGTGTGTGTGTGTGTGTGTGTGTGTGTTAAGAACAAACATGTGTGTGTGTGTGTGTGTGTGTGTGTTGCGCGCGCGCGCGCGCGCGCGCACTAAGAACAAACACATTCTTTCCTGGTCAAAAAAGCAACAGAGGGAGACAAGCTCAGTATCTGTAGCAAATAGGGAATTTCACAAGAAGCATGGAGAGAAAACAGAACTAAACGTGGCTCTGTCTTTTCTGGCAAGAAGGACATTAAGAACATGTCTGTCTGTTATACTATTCTCATCCACCCAAGTGAAGATGTGGTAGTATTCAAAGCATCTCTGGCTTTTAGCTAGAAACTCACTAAATGCTCCTTTGCAGCTGAATGGATCAGCACCTAGGCCCTGGCTCTAACTGAAGAACAGAGACTAGAAATCTTGTTCAAAGAATAGAAACCAGGACAACCAAGGCAATGGAAGAAAAATCAGAGAAGGGTTCCAAAGGAGTGAGTGGTTGCTGACCTTCACATGCTTCAGGGCTTATCTTTAAGGGTCCAGGAAAAGAACTAAGACCAATTCAGTGACAAATTTACAAGCTACTCAGTAAGTACTTTCTAGGGGTCAGAACAATGGTAGGGGGAAACAGGGCAGGAGATAGGTCCTGTCCCTGTTCATGAGGCTTGCAAACTAGTTCACAGGAGAAGCTGCTTTGGGTTCAAGACCCCATAGATCTGCTCTGAGGGAGGCAAAAGTCTTAAGAGAGGCTGGTAGGCTCTTGAAGGGCCCAGAGGAGGTACCAACCCTATAAGGGGGGAGGGGGTGTGTGGAGCTGGTGGCTAGAACCTCCAGGCTCTTTAAGACTGTATTCTGGCATGGAAGTGTGCATCACTCTAAGGAACAAACATTCTTCATTTATATGAGCTAAGAGCTTATTCTGGAATGTAGGGGGCATCAGGTACCTTTCAACTACCCTAGAGAATACCACCTTGCATAGGCGCCCTGAGCAGTCCACACGTGGAGTCTTCCCAATTCTTTACTCACTCACAAGAGCCTCTCTGTGCTCTGGCACCCTGTAGGGGGTACCTAGTCACTCACAGGCAATACTACACCAGCCAGCCTGCAGAGCCTCAGTCCCATGCCAGGCCTCAGCAGCTCTCCCCATCCCTGACCTTCTTCACCCAGCGTGGGCTTTCATTTCTGGGTCCCATTTCTCCATGAGCTTTCCTTCATGCTAGCCCTCACACTGCACCTTCCTCACCTCTGAATACATCCCTGCAGGTCCCTGGGGAAAGCCTTGAATAGCACACTGTCCTGTCATCAGTCACATCACCCACCAAAGGCCATTGGGCTCCATGGGGCTCAGCAAACAGTCCAGTTTCATTATTCTGAATGCACTATTGTAATAATGCATCATTTATAATTTGGAAATAATGGAATTCACTATTAAAAACCATGCAAGGATAGGTCCCCCTTGCTTTATAGAAACAGCACTCTTCCATAATTCATAACATGCAAGTCCTAATGGCTGATGAATAATTTGGAAGCAGTAAAAGCACTCTGTGGCACTGACCTGCTGGCTTCCAGAGTGTTCACCTCACCTCTGGGGCCAAAGCACCTACCCCAACCCTGCTCTGTCACTGTGGTCATCAAGTGAACTCGAGGGATGTTTCTGTCCCCAGATAACCTGCGGGTCACCATCTACATGGCACCCAAATCTCACTGCTCTACATCTAAACACCACTTACCCCCGGGTTTCAAACTGAAATTGGTCCCTGGCACAGTGGCCTTTGGGGATGACCCTTCTGTTTGAGCCAAGAAGAAAGAAGTTCCTGAAAGCTCCAAAGCACATATAAAGGTTGACATACAGACAGTACCATGTTATGGGGCCCTGCACAGAAAGTTAGCCCAGTGCCCATTTCCTTTATGTCCCCTCTGTCAAGAAGGATTAAAAGGCTTCTATCACACTCTCCTTGCCACTATGATAGTGTGCCCTAGCATATAGATCAAGTGACTATTGATCAAACACACTGAAACTGTGAGCCAAAATAAATGCCCTCCTTATATTGTCTTTGTTAGATATCTGGTCCACAGCAATGACAAAAAAAGAACACACCCTTTTATCTAGCAACTCCACTCTTGCATATCTACTCAAATCAGATTATTTGTACAACTATTTTCAAAGCAGTATTACTAAATTATGGCAACAACCAAACTGCCAATTTCTGGATGAAAGGGGGGAAGGAGATGGTATGTGTAGTGGGATTTTACTCAGCCTTAAGATGGAAGGAAAATTTGACCTGTTCCACACAAGCATGTGGTGTGACAACAAATACCTAAAAGAGAATTAAGATGCTAAACCACATGTTATGAACATTTATCCAAGAAGAAAAAACTGGGACAAATAAACTTGCCTCGGCAACTAAATCTGTCAAAATTTTAAAAAGAGACAAGGGCACTGGCTGCACATTCCAAAATTTTCCACATTTTGGGACCACAGTCTCAGACAAAATAGGATAGCCAAAAATCTTAAACAATATACAAATATACAAAATCACTCCCCTTTCTTAGTAATTACCTTTTGAGTTATATGGCTAGTTAGCCTGCCATATCTTTACAGACTTTTAAAAAAAAAAAAAAAATCCAAGTGTGGTGGCACGAGCCTTTAATCCCAGCACCTGGTAGGTAGAGGGAGGTGGACCTCTGTAAGTTGGAAGCCAGCCTGGTCTACATCAGGAGTTCTAGGACAGGCAGCACTATGTAGAGAGAACCTGTCTCAAAACCAAACCAAAACAAAACTCCCAAAACAGCGTGACAGAAGTTTAAGTTATAAAACAAGAAAATTATGTTCTAACTATTGCTACTTTTCATGCTGTCATGTAAAAGGTCTCATTATCAGTTTTTATCCTAAGGGGATAAATGTTCCTTTATGATAATCACATTGTGTCAATATTCCTTAAGCTATAACAACAACAAAGAAATTGCTTCAGGGACGGCCAGGACTGTTATACAGAGAAACCATCTCGAAAAACCAAAAAAAGAAAAAGAAATCGCTCCCACAGTTCTAAACAGCCTGTCTACCAGGTCTATTCCCAAAAAAGAAGTAGGGAAACAGGCCAGCTGCTGGAGGAAGTGGCATCAACAGAGGCCTGAGCCCATGTGATGACCTGCAGAAAGTGTCCTAACAAGGGCCTAGGCAGCTGATGCAGATCTTGCTGGGCCTCAAGCCTGACTAGGGTCCTTTTACCATTATTTCACTTCATTTCAGGGGCCCTTCTCCTCCCACCATGGGGCTGTCTGCCCAGAGGGCAGCACCTTTATCTGATATTCAATGTGGTGGTTTGAATGAGAATGGTCCCCACAGGTTCTTATGTTTGAATGTTTGGATTCCAGTTAGTGGAACTCTTTGGGAAGGATGAGGTGTGACTTTGAGTGGGTGTGACCTTGTTGGAGGAGGTATCACTGGGGATGGGCTCTAAGGTTTAAAAAGCCCACAGCAGGCCCCCAATATCTCTCTCTATCTCTATCCCCCCCGCACCTGCTGTGGATTAGGATGTAAAGCTCTTAGTTTCTGCTCCAGTACCATGTCTGTCTGCTTCTTGCCATGATCATGGACTAACTTTCTAAAATTGTAAGCAAGCACCCAATTAAACACTTTCTTTTATAAGAAAGCTGGGTGTGTGGCACACGCCTTTAATCCCAGCACTTGGGAGGCAGAGGTAGGCGGATCTCTGTGAGTTCTAAGTCAGCCTGGTCTATAGAGCAGGAGAGGCTCTAAAGCTATACAGGGAAACCCTGTCTCAAAAAACAAAAAAAAATTTGCTGTCTTAGTTAGGGTTTCTAATGCTGTAGAGACACCATCACCATGGCAACTCTTATAAAAGAAAACATTTAACTGGGGCTGGCTTACAGGTTCAGAGGTTTACTCCATTATTATTATGGCAGGAAACATGGCAGCATGTACTACACAGACATGGTCATGGTGCTGGAAAAGGAACTCAGAATTCTACATCTGGACTGGCAGGCAGCAGGAAGAGAGAGAGGCACTAGGCCTGGCTTGGGCATTTGAAACCTCAAAGCCCCATCCCCAGTGACACACTTCCTCGAACAAAGTCACACCTCCTAATAGGGCTACTTTCTGGTGACCAAGCGTTCAAATCTATGAGCCTATGGGGGCCATTCCTATTCAAAGCGCCACAGTTGTCTTGTTCACCGTGTCTCTTCACAGCAAGAGAACAGTAACTAAGACACCCGCAAAGGTCCACAGTGTCAGAGTAGACTCATTAGAGTGGCCAGTGTAGCCCAAGCCCTTGGTAAAGAGGGACGAAAGACCTTCATATAATAAACATGTGAAGTCACCAGCTAAAAGTCAAACAAATCCATCCACTCAGGCTTTGTCCTGCTGATGTCAGTGGGGACCTGGGGGATTATGCTGGCTGCCACACCTGATATGAGAACCCTACCTTCATGTGAACTCTCACAATCTTGTATGGTGTGTACAGGGAACCCCCGTCTCTCTTGAGTGTGTACTCTGGACTCTTAATTTCTTAGAAGGCGCCAGAGGGAAAGGAACTGTTGCTTGGAGACCCTTCATCAGACTGTCTTCAACATTAGAGCTTTATTTCTCCCTAATCTCCACAAAGGCCTCAGTAGAAAATGGCTCATTTCCCCAGGTTATTAGTTGATGAAAGAACCCTTCTTAAGATTTATTTTTTATAACTATACATATATGTGTATGCATGTAAGTATGTACACATGAGTTCAGGTGCCCATGGAGACCAAAAAACAGAGGCACTGGATGCCCCTGGAGATGGTGATACATACAGGTAGGTTGTGAGCTGCCTGATGTACTGGGAACTTATCTTGGGTCTTCATTAAGAGCAGCATGTGCTGTTAACCAGCCCCAATGACACAAGGTTTAAACCCTCCTTAACTGGCAATTAATCTGTCATTTTACTTGATATCAAGTCAACCTAATACAAAAAGTAAGGGAAGACTTACCAGATAAAACTCCAGTGAACACAAAGTGACCCTGAGCAATTGATGAAAAGAAACATCCCGTAGGTTATGCTTGCCCAGTTGTGATTTTTGGCCCTGCAGTCAAAACATACCCGAAAGAAAATCGTTATATATTGCTAAGAATTAATTTATATTAGCAGGTTGAGTTTGTCTTATACAACACAGTACACAACTAGCTTACCAGCTGTCTAACATTCACACTTTACATTCTGATCATTTAGGAGCCATGTGACCTGTTCGTCTGGAACTGTGGCAGCAGGGCTAATCGGTGCAGCCTTCCTCTCATCCTCTGCCTGCTGTTTCCCCTGGGCCACCTAGCTGGAACAGGCCGTTCATTTCACCAATAACTTCCTCACTCCAGCATCACTGTTGCCATCTCCAAGATGGCTGTGTCTCTGATCAGGCAAGTCAAGCTGCTGCTGAAGGTATGATGTGATAACAAGCAGGCCGTGGCTGATAAACAGTACAAAGGCATCATGGGCTACATTATCTGCATTTCTAAAGAGCAGGATGTACTGTTTTCCTGGCCTGGCAACCTGGAGAATGTTGTCCGCTGCTTCCCAATACAAGCCCTCAACTTCACGGTCTAGGGTACATACAGGTCTTCCTAGGGGTATGGACATGTGAACCCACATCTGGAGCTAGTCTGACAGCAACTGGCCTCTGAAGGAGCTCCCTATTTCATCTCCTGGCTAGATACTGCCAGAACCTCCTAGGTAGCTGACATAGAGAAATTAGGCACGGACCCTGCCAGTTGAAAGGTCTGGGGGACTTTGGTGAAGATCACTAAATGGGATGGAATCTGCTGTCTTTTACAAAGCTTTGACATCTCTGTTAGGGCACCACGATACACTGCATGGTGTCATTTAGTATATACAACTCAGCTCAAGGCATGCTGCCTGACCCCAAAGACACAGACACCCCACAATCAGATGATCCCACAGATGGTCATGGCCAGTGTCACCTCCCCTCTTCCTCACAATGGGGTGGGTCCTGATGAGTCTAAAGAGCTCAGGTCTTGTATGGCAGTGTCTGAGGTCTTTTACACAGGTCTTGCCATCTGTTAGAGGAAGTTTTTTGATTGAAATAATGTCTCACTCTGGACCTTAGGCCAACCTGAAACTTATTTAGCCCAATCTAGCCTTGAACGTGTGACAGTTCTCCTGCCTCAGCCTCCCCAGTGCTGAGATGCTCGGCATGACTCACAATGGCATGCCGAGAAAAAACTTTCAAAGATAAGGTCTGCAAAGCCTTCTTCAGTGTGGTCCAACTTCTCTGACATGGGAGGGCTTTTGTTCTGTTGCTTTCGATGAGCTGAAGAAAGTCACTTAAGTAGGTCCTCTCACCAGAACCAGGAGTATGGGAGAATGCTCCACTGTTAAGTACCACAAATGAGAAATTCCAGTCTTGGTCCTGGTCAGATGTCTGGGAAGGAGTCTTGTAAAGAGCTAATTGTGACCATGCTTCATCAATGGCACCTCGTTTAATTACTGGGAAAGTAATGGTATCATGGTGGGTCTTCCATCAGGAAGACCTAAGAGTCCAGATATTGTAGGATGCATTATGTAGTATTTTCTTACAACTAATAAATCGCCGGGCAGTGGTGGCGCACGCCTTTAATTCCAGCACTTGGGAGGCAAAGGCAGGCGGATCTCTGTGAGTTCGGAGGTCAGCCTGGGCTACAGAGGGAGATCCAGGACAGGTTCCGAAGCTACAGAGAAACCCTGTCTCGAAAACAAACAAACAAAAAACCCAACAAAACCAAAAAACGAATAAATCACGTCATTCTTTTGTATGTATTTTGTTTGTAAGTGCCATTTCTTCTTGTACAGCTAAATAATATTTTCAGTCATATCCCATGCCAGGCATTCTGCTACAAAACAAATAACATGAAAAGTGTCATCTAGGATTTTAGAAATTTAAATTTCTATTTATATTTTCTGTGTATGAGTGTTTTGCATGCATGTATATCTGGGCACCCCATGTGTGCCTGGTGCCCATAGAGGCCAGAAGAGGGTTTTGGTCCCCTATAATTGGAATTACAGAAGATTGTGAGCTGCCATGTTGGTGCTGGGAATTGGTGCAGCTAGTAAGTACTCTTTACCACTGAGGCATCTCTCCAGCCCCCCCCCCTTTTTTTTTTTTAGAACTTTGAACATTTCTAATAATATTGGGGCTGGAGAGATGGCTGTTGGTGACACTGGCTGCTATCAGAAGACCTAGGTTTGGTCCTCAGTAGCCACATGCTGGTTCACAATCACCAAACTCCAATTCCAGGGAATATGATGCCCTCTTCTGGCTTCCACGGGCACCAGACACACAGACATACATGCAGGCAAAACACCCACGCATATTATATCTATAAATTATAAAGTCTCAGTCGTCAGGTACTTGCTTAGCATGTTTGAGGCTTTGGCTTTGCACTGGTGGGGGGTTGGTTACTCATGGGTCCAGAAAGAGTTGTCAATGCAATTACTGTATTGTATCAGCAACACACTATTGTGTATGTAGTACGCACAGTGAAGAGAACTTAGGTCTGTAAGCCATATCCTACACTACTTACCTCTAAACATCCAGTTAGGAACCTAGCCCATAAAGGAATGCTGACCAGGAACATACCCGCCCCCCCAGCCCCAGGACACTGTCCCTTACCATCCATTGGGCAGTGGCTGTATCTCACACGACGGGCCCTCGGGCATGATTCTTCTCTCCTCTGCACTAACCACTTGGCCCCATCTTCCTCCCCTTAGCTCCTGTGCGGTTTCTGCCTCACTTTTACCGCGGTTGTCTAGGTGACCAGTAAAATGTGGCAAAAGCGACAGCATACCACTTTCAAGAGTAGGTTCTTCAAAGGCACGGAGGTAAACAGTACGGTGGTGCACACCAAAAGTCCCAGCACTCAGGAGGCAGAGGCAGGAAGATTGCTAGTTCAAGGCCAAGTTGGTCTACATGGTGAGACACTACCTCAAATAAATAAGTCAATAAATAAATAAATAATAAATAAGACACTGACTTCTCTCTTCGGCGAGTCACTACTAAATAACCATGTGTTAAGGACACTCGGACAGCCCTGTGGGGAAGCTCGGGTGACAGCGACCGGCTCGCGCCAGGAAAGAGAGGTGCTGTTAGCTTTTTCCGGGGAGTCGCCACCAAACGCCGCCGAATCACCCCGCGGCGGCGGACGCCAAGCACACAGCTCACACGGCTCGAGTTCACCCAACCCGGCGAGAGCAGCGAGCGTCCCGGCCGTCCGTCTAACGGAGCACGGGCGCGGGCGAGCGCAGTCGCTCAGATCCCGCGTGGGCGAATTCGGCCGTTGGCCACCCGGGCGGCCCCGCCGCCCACGGCCGCCGCGCGGTCCCGAGCCCCCCCAGGCGGCCGCTACCTGGTTGGTTGCTAAGCGCCACACGCAGGCGGCTGAAGATGGCCAAGAGGTCCTGATGGCCAAGGTTCCCCCATGGCCACCCGAGGGTCGAGAGGCATCGCGCCCCGGCCAGGCAGGACGTCCTGAGAAAAACTGAAACTGGGGCCGCCTCGGAGGGACCAACCGCCGACCTGCAGCGCGCGACGGGAGGCCACGCCCACGCCCCGCCCACCCCCAGAGCGCCAGCCACTCTCTTTCCGCCCCTCACACAGGCCGCGCCCCTGGCCCCGCCCCTCAAGCCCCGCCCCCCCCGGCATGGCCCACGCGCTCCTGGTTCTGACGTTCACCTTTACCGTTGCCAGCTTGGCACGCGCACGCTGCTCTGGTGCGCCTGCGCCAGGCGCCTGGGCTTCCCCCTGGGCTGGCGTCCCGGGAAGCTGTGGGGTGGCTGACGAGGGACTCTCCCCTCACACTGGATTGTCACTGACTCTTTTTTATTCTCAGCTGAAGCCAAACCCTGAATCTGTGGTAGAAAACTGTTTGGTGTTTTTTGTAGAGAGAATTTTTTTTTCGGCGACTGGAGAGAAAGAAGGCTCAGCACTTAGGAGCGCTGAATGCTTTTCCAGAGAAACTGGGGTTCGATTCCCAGCCACCACATACCAAAGGACCTCACACCCTCTTCTGGCCTCCACAGGCACTGTATGCTTGGGGGTGCACAGTATATATGTATATGTGTGTGTATATATATATATAATATATGGTTTTTATTTTTATATATATATATATATATATATATATATATATATATATATATATGGTTTTTATTTTCTGCCTGAGTGTGCTTTGCCTGTATGTATATCTGTATAGATGATAGATGATAGATAGATAGATAGATAGATAGATAGATGATAGGTAGATAGGCAGGGTCTTAGGTGATCCAGGTTAGCATTATGTAATCCATGAACTCATTATGTAGCTGAGGATGAACTTGACTTTCTGATCCTCCTGCCTCCACAACCTAAGTGTTGGGATGACAGACATGGTGACCCCTGATTATTTTAATTAAAAAAATTTTCATACAATATATTTTGATCATGGCCCCACCCCCACCCCAACTTCTCCCAGATCCTCCTCAGTTCTTCCCACCAAACTTTACGTTTCATCTTGGGAAAAACAAAACACCATGATCCCCAAAACAAAATGAAACAAAAAGTCTGCAAAAATACCATTGAGTTTGTTTTCTGTTGGCTACTGTCTTCTGTTAACTACTCCTGGGCATGGATGGGGGCCTTCCCTGGCATTAATTGTGCATGTCTATGTATATGCATGTAGGTACCCTGAGAATCCTGGAGCTTACTTAGTGAAAAGGAACTCAGATCCTCTAGAAGAGCAGTACACTTTCTTAAACGATGAGCCATCTTTCCAGCACCCCCAAGCTTAACTAGCACATGGGGCTCCATCCCAACCTTACAGGATACCAGTAGCCGGAAGGCTGGAACTCTGGAGCAGGTGCCTCTTTTACTAGGGTGAGTGTAGGGTAGTTGGAAAACGTGGCCCCGGGTAGGGTGTTGTGGCAGAAGTCAAACAGGTTTGCGATTCAAGTTCAAGCCTGCCCAGCTTCTTGTCCCAGTTCAGCTGGCTGCTTCCCAGCGCTTCGGCGTTCGGCATGTTCTTCTCTAGAGGTGCCATTTGCTCATCTACACCGTTCTGTTAACTTTTCCTAGAGACACATTTTATTATGTCTTCACCCTAAGAAGGGCACTGATGACAATAACAACAAAGTTCCACCCAGATCAAGCAGACCAAACCAATGGCTTTAGTTAGGGTCATTTACAGGAGCACTGTGGTGGTGGTGGTGGTGGTGGGGTAGAGAATGACCTCCCAGTGAGTGGGCAATTATGGGCAGCACTCAAGAAAAGCTCCCACGCCAGTAATCACTGACGCTACTCTAGCCTCTGGAAGGGACATGGGTTAATGGGCCTTGAGAAGTTGGAGAGGTCTGCCACTAGGCCCTCATGGGGTTGCTGAGTCCTCTCTCCCCTTCACCAGGGACAGCAATGGCCTGTGTCATGCCCAAGGACAGAGTTTGACAACCCATATAAAGGTTTAGGGCTGGAGAGCAATTTCCAGTAAAGTCCTCCAAACGTCTGTGGCACCACATTTCCACTTCAGAAACGGAAGACTCACTCAGCCTGTCCAATGAGCCAGTCTTGAGGTAAGTGGGGTATCTACAGGGAGTGTGTGTTTATAAGCCGGGGCTGGACTTGGTCCAACTGCCACCAGAATGGAGGGTAAATGTACCCAGACAGTCACAGACTAAAACCCAATGAGAATAGCAACAGCTTCTGTCCCTTGCCTCTGGAAGACACGCCCAGTGACTGGTGCTGAAAGAGAACACATCAACTTCTGTGTAGGTCAGACCCAACTGGAAATAAACTCACTGAATCATGGGCAACTTCATTTGATTTTACTAACCTCTATATTCTCAGGTTGTGCACACTTAAGACATTGAAAAATACAATGATTTGCTGGGCAGGGGTCGAGCATGCCTTTAATCCCAGCACTCGGGAGGCAGAGGCAGGCAGATCTCTGAGTTCGAGGTCAGCCTGGTCTACAGAACGAGTTCCAGGACAGCCAAGGCTACACAGAGAAACCCTGTCTTGAAAAACTCAATAAATAAATAAATTTAGTGATTGGTTGCTGGATTTTAAAGAAAGATCAGAAGTTAACACCATTACCTCTTCTTTTTGCTTTAATATTTTTATTTTATTAACTTAATTTCACATATCAGCTACGGGTTCCCCCATCCTCCCAGTTCTCACTCCCACACCATTACCTCTTAATGGAATAAATGGAATAGCTTCATTAGTATGTAATTTAAAGCAAAAATAATTGATATGACACACTGACAGAAAATCCTGTGTTTTTTGGTGAGTGTGGTGTGTGAATGAATTTGTGTGTATACATGCATGTGTGTACACTTGGTTATGGTAGCTCAGGATGTTTTCCCTCATACCTCTCCACCTCATTCATTGGGGGCAGAGCCTCTCACTTGAACCTAGAGCTCCCAGTGACTAGACTAGCTAGCCAGCTTGTTCCAGGGATCTGCTGTTTTCACTGAGTGCTGAAATTATAGGCAGGCTGCTGTGCCCATCCAGCATTTATATAGGTGCTGGGGATCTGAACTCAGGTCTTCAGGCTTGCAGAGCAAATGAGCCATTTCCCAAGGCCCCCAAATTCTGTATTTGTGTATTTATTATCCTCAAATACTAGGAACAAGTCAAATCTCTTTCAATTGGATGAATGAATCTGAGTGTGTTCTTCAATGGAAACTATCCATAAGAAGGAACAAAACACTAGCACACAAAACTACATGGATGAATCTCCAAAGAGTAATGTCAGAAAGTAGACCAGCTTCTCTTTTCATACATATGGTATATATGTGTATGCATGCTCACACGTGAGTGCATGCACATGTGCAGATGGGTGTGTCTATGAATATATGTGCACGTGGAGGCCCAAGGTTAACCTTGGGACTCTTCAATTGCTCTTCACCTTATACTTTGAGGCAGGGTCTCTCAAGCAGACCCAGGGCTTTTTGACACCTCTAGTGTATCTAGTCAGCTTGTTGCTCTGAGGGTCCTGTCTCTGCTTTCTAAGGCCTGAATCATAGGTGGGATGCCACATCTGCCTGGCATGTTCTGGGAGCTCTGGACATCTGAGCTCCAATCTGCTCAATCACTGAGCCATGTTTCCAGCCCCAAGGGCTACCCTTGATATGATCCTATTCAGAATACATTTTGGAAATGGCAAGAACTATAGAGAGAAAATAGATCAGTACTTGCTGGGCATGGCAGCTCATGCCTACAAGGAAGCTGAGGCAGGAAGATTGTTTACGAGGTTGAGGCTAGCCTGGGCTACACAGTTAAGACCATGTACAAAAACAGTAGTGGTTTCTAGGAACTGAGGGTATAAAGAAGTTGAGTGGGAAGATGGGCAAATTTGAGAGTTCTGTATTTTGGCTGGTGAGGGGATCAACAAGGGGTGAGCAACCACAGGCTGTGGAAAGGATGAGGAGCATTTTGAATCAGATGGCTCTGGAACTAGGTACTCCTGGCCCAGCTGGGTGATGTTTTTGTTGTTTCAGACAAGGTCTCATTATGTATCTAGAATTCACCACGTATATGAGGCTGGCCTCAAACTCAGAGAGATCCCCTTGTCTCTGCCTCCCAAGATTAAAGGTATGTACCCACCATGCCTGGCACTAAGTGTCATGGGCACTAGTGGGTACAGACAGGCAAAGGGCCCAGTACTGTGTCCTCTGAGGCAGGTGCTCCCAGGCCAACAACAGTCCAGCTTGAAGGACCCTGGGCTATCATGCCTGATCTGTTGCATGGTAGCTTTCCCACTTTGGTCACGTTGCCTCTTGGTGCCTCAGTTTCCTCATCTATGAAGTAAAGCTAACACTACCTAGTACATGGGACTGCCATTACAATTACTCAGCAGATGTTAAAAGAGTTTAGGACAGGGTCCCACACAGAGTGAGAATACAGAAGTCTACTCTGAAGGCTCCATTCAGAGACCAGCAAAGCAAGGCTCAGGAACTCAAGAGCGTTCTGCAAGGGCTCAGGTGACTAGGGTCACGCACCAGGATCCATGCTTGCGCACAGGATCCTGTTACACCAGACAGCAAATCCCAGCCACTTTCTAGATAGTGCTTCCTAGCTGTGTCCTCACAGGTGGGAGGGATGGACAAGACCCCTCGGGCCTCCTGTATAAGGGCACTAATCCTACCCTAAGGGCTTCCCCCTCATGACCCAATCACCTCAGCTAATATCCTCTTCTGAAAAGCTATCACTGTAGTGGGGAGGCTGTCAACCACCAAATACTAGAGACACATCTCCCCTGTAGTGGTGGTGCTCTGATGCCGAGTTTGGTACTCCACTCACAGGCTGGCCCAGACTGAGCTTGGCCTGGTCCAGCCTGTTCAGTGCTTTGGAGCCATCTCCACCACAGTTCTGGTTCTTTTCACGGTGGAAAATTTGGGTCCGGTTTCATCCTGGCCCTAGGGCCCTTCTGCCTCTTTCTACTAGAAAGACTGAGAAGTCACTGCTCACCCACCCATTTATATGGGTGCCCAGGGCCCAGGTCTCTTGTAGGTATCTGGAGACTGGATGGGGAGGGCGTAGAACTACCCCGTCTTGGAGAAGGTTCCAGGCAAGGTCCTGTGTGAGGGAGCAAAAGGGAGAGACGGTGGTGGTAAAGCAGGCAGTCCCAAGAGCAGCTACGACCCAGGGAACGCGCCTGGCTGGCTCTC